GGAGTTTCGCTGCCCATCTACACGGAAGTAACTCCCACTGGTTCCGTTGAGGGTTCACACACACACACACACACACACACACACACACACACACACACCGATCAGAGTGCTCGGAGTAGAGGCACTACTTCCCTGTAAGCGAATCCTTCTGGGTGGCAGTGATTCTGACCCACGTGCACGCTTTGGACTTTGGCCATTAGCTTGTTTCCTGCTCAGGTGCAGAAACGGGACTGTATACAATTTGGATGTATGCCTATAAGATAACAAAATACCAATATTTAGAATCTAGCTTATATATTTATCTTGAGGGCACTCGCGCGTGCAAATACACACACACACACACACACACAAACACAAACACACTCTCACACACACTTTACCCCTCCAAATATAGTAGCATCCGTGGGTATTTTTTAAGCAGTTCAAGCGCAATGGGGGGAGAGGGGGGAAGCGAGAGAAGTATGTTTCGGGACGTAAATCGGTCTGGGAACGATTGTGCAACTTGTTGAATACGTTGTCTCTATTTTAAAAGGAGTGGGTGCGTCAATACATTCCTGCCTTTTTACCTGTAAAGCGCCTTCTGTAGAGAACATCACCAAGATAAGGTGGTACCTGGAAGGGAAGGGTTAAGAAGTCGCAGTTCTAGACAGATCAAAGGTAGGTGGACATCCCACGTATGTTTGCCCGGGATTGTTGTAACGTTCGCTCTGGAAAGTGAACACACCTGGAAAACACACACCTGTTCCGCTTGGTGAGAAAGTATAATGTGGAAAAAAAGCACTCGGGTAGAGCGCGCAATGGATTGACAGCGCCTAGAAATTCATGGACCAATTTATGACAACAGGGGGGCGGGGAGGGAAAGGGAGCATTCAGCCTTTGTTTACGGTCTCGGATCTCTTCCACCAGACCAGGGAAAGGAGAAGGAAAAGGATCGAGGATCTGTCCCTAATTTTGCAAAAAGCTGCGCCAAGGTGAAGCCAAAGCACCGAGAGCCGTTTCCCACCTTAAAAGCGCCACTCTTGGTGATGTCACGTCGGAAATTTACCAAAGCAAGATCTAGCCAACTGTACCGAGAGATCCAGCCCCTTGACTGGCTGATTGGGCAAAGCGGCACTGACGTGCACTGACGTTTGAAGACTTGGGATGCATTTGGCTGTGCAATACAGAGCCCACATAAACAAAGGCACATTGGAGGGAAGGGCCAGTCTGTCCTGCTTGCTCGCCCCGCGCTTCGCTCGTACTGTACTTCCCTAAGGAACGAAAGGAAGAGCGGCGTGTCCGCGCGCTGGCAGAGGCGAGTGAAAGGCGAAAGGAAAACGAGGACGAAGCGCTCGGCGGCGAGAAGTGTCTCTCCGCTTCCTCCCGCCCGCCCGCTCGCCCGCTCGCCCTGGGATTCCGAACTGCCAACAGTTGACTGAATGAATGAATGAATGAAAGAGACACGCCACCTAACAAGTAAGTGGACTGCGACGGAGAATCTATTCTGTCTTTTGGCTGGATAATGCAACATTTTCCTCCCCTTCAGGCAAAGAAAAGTAGCCCGGAGATGGGATGTAGTGGGTAGGTTGGGTGAGATTGGAGGGGGGGGGATTGGGACCGGGGAAGATCGCGGTTGCCAGATATCAAATATTAACCCCACCCACCCCCGCCCCGTGCAGGCTTATCCAAAAAGAACCTCTTAAAAGGGCCTCGCCTATCAGCCTTCATTCAGATCCGGAGACCTTCTCACAGCCCACCTCGCAACTTCCATTCCCCGCAAAGTGTGGATTTTTTCGGATAGAAGGCCGGAAGAGGAAACTTTGAGCGCAGCCCCTGCGCTTTGGTTTTCGGGGGTCCAGCGCCGTGGCATCCCATCCTGTGGAGGAGGTCCGCGGGGGGACTTCAATCGCAGGAAGAAGAAAGAAAAAAGTTGTTGGGCGGAGGATTTGGGTTACTTGGGAACACTTTGATCTCCAGTCAGCGCCAAGGCTGAGCGCAGGGGAGGACCAGCGCTCAGCCCTGGAGCAATTACGCTGCCTGCCAGGTTGATCGCCGCCGGAGGTGGGCAGACTGCAAAGTAAAATTATTCCAGAGCACGTCGCCTAATAGCGGGGCCGCCGGCTTCCTTATCTGATGTGTGGGAGGCAGGAAAAGAAGGCAAATAGCCCCCCAGCCCTAGTTGAAACGGCTTAGCTAGCAGGTTGTACAGAGGGAGAGGGATTGTCGGCTTCCAACGGAGTTTGAATTAAAGGGCACAAGACTTCGGAGTAGAAACAGAGAGAGACTAGCTGAACAGTCCAAGTATGAAACTTCCCAGGGTTTGCTACTTGTACCCATGAGAAGCTGTTCTGCGGTGTGTGTGTGTGTGTTTGTGCGTGCGATATCGGAGGGACGCAATCATTGGAAAAGCCCCCGGAAAAAAACGATTTGCGTCAGTTCCGAAGGGGATCCGGAAGAGATGGCTAGAGGCATTCCCGTCTCCCGTTCGATTCGGCTGCACGGCTTGGCCACGCGCATCCTTCGGACCCTCCCGCGCTCAGCTCGGCGCGGCTCGGGTTGCTGCTTTCTTTGGCCTTTTAATTGCCTCCGCCTTTGTGTGCGCGCGCGTGCGAGAGCCAGCGAGCGGCTGCGTGCTCTAATTAAACGCCTTCTCTTTGCCGCTCGGCCCCCCTTTGAAGATTTGGAAGCCGAAGAAGAGTGGCGGAATGTGGAGGGGAAGCGGGAGCACCGGCCCCTCTTCTTCCTCCTCCCCTCCTCCCGTCGCGCTTCTCATTCTTATGTCATCCCCGCTCGCGATGGAGAAAAGTTAGCCCCCTGGGACGGCCAAACATGCCTTTGGAGGCTTGCGGGAGTTGTCAAGTGTAAGACTTTGGAGTCTCTGCGGGCAGACGCGTGTGGACAAGCTACGAGGGAGCTGGGTGGATGGGTGGGAGGGATAACTTGAATGTCTGAATACTTTTGTTGCACAATGAGGGAATCAAGGGGAAAACCTAGACAAGACTGTTCATAAATATGTTCTGTGCATTAAAAAATAATAAAAACCTTTTATTAAAAAAACATATATATGAGGGAATCAAATAGCGCAACGACAAC